GAACAGAACCTGGCGTCTGCGCTGGAGGACCGCGAGCGCGCCGAGAACGAGGTGCAGAGGGTCATTCAGATCCTCGATGTCAAGATCTTCGACCTCAATGACCTGCGGCAGAGTCTGGTCAAGCTGATCAGTAAATAGTGTGATGCTCGCTCTCCCTGCTGGCTTTCCTTTCATCTTGAGTTTGCACTGAAAAGCTCTTTCTGTTCCAGTCTAGCAATAACTTGAGCGGTGAGGAGGTTATGATGGTAGAGCGTGAACAGCGTTGTTACAGTACGGTAAAGGTTGAGGGGACGTTTATTTTTTATACGCTCTTTGTCAGAAACACTAGTGCTGTGTGACATCTTTACAGAATCTCAAGTTTTGTTTTTTTTTCATTATTATTATTTTTTTTTTAACCATGCATCGTGAACAATAGGGCTGGGAAAAATGTATTCACAAATGCATAACAATTCTTTCTCAAATGATTCTGGATTGATTTACAAAAGAATATAATTGAATTTTATTTTAAAGTATTAATAATTAAGTTTAGTTCAACACAAGTTATTTACACAAGATTTACAGTTGTGTTGAGATTTTTTTTGGTTGCAATTTTTACATCTACATTTAATTATTTTACATTATAAATATTATATAATTAAAATAATTGAATAAAATTTTAATAATATTAAAAATGATTATATTTTAATAATAATAATTTAGCTTAAAAATTCACACATTTCTGTGACATTCAACTTAAGCATTTATGGCTGTAATAAAAGTCAAATTTTTAAAAGATTATTATGTCAAAGTCAAATAAATTTTTATTAACACTTTAAAAAGATTAGGTTATGAAAATTTGTATAAAGATTGACCACTTTTTTTTCTCGCATTTTTATCTACATTCAATTATTTGAAATTATTATTTTAATTATAAATATTATATAGTTATAATGACAATTTGATCACATTTGAATCATTAAAATGTATATATTATTTGTAATAACTTAAAAGGATTTAATAATTTAAAAATTCACACATTTCTGTAACATTAAACGTAAACATGAATAGCTGTTATGGTGAAATCAAACGAATTTTTACGAACGCTTTTAAAGATTAGGTTAAAAAAATTGAATCAGTTTGGAATTGAATCATGACTCTGTGAATCAAAATCTAATTGAATCATGACTCTGTGAATCAAAATCTAATTGAATCATGAGTATTTAAGGAATATTGTGTGTTATTTAGTTTATAACCAAAAGAAGTTTGTAGCAAAGACCTTTGTGGCTCAAACACCAAACTTGAAATTTGAAACTGAAAATTATGTTTACCATTTTAGAAAGTCATGAGCTTTTGTGCCATGGAGTTTTATTTTTCTGAATCTCTATCTGCGCTGCAGCAGTATCTCAGCTGGGAGTGAGTAGAAACCAAAGACCAGCTTGAATGTGGCTCCAAACGCTCCAAATATGTTCATACTGTGGAATGCTTAGTTTAGACGACAGCATTGATATAAAGCATTAAATATTAGCTGCACTGGCAGAAATATACGAGCAGGTAGAAATAAAAAATTCTGTTACGATAGAATATTAAGATCCCTTGATCTCGTGAGGGAATTTATACTTAAGAATAGCTGTAGTTCTTCATTGAGGAATGGATTCATGAATGTGCTTGAATGCGTCTAGTGTAGTTGCTTTGTGCAGCTCTAAGGCTTCAAACTTTAATTTGATTAAAGGAATAATCCAGGCAAAAAATTACAATTTGCTGAAGATGTGCTCACCATCAGGTCATCCAAGATGTAGATGAGTGTGTTTCTTCATCAGATTTGGAGAAATGTAGCATTGCATCACTTGTTCAGCAATGGATGCTCTGCAGTGAATGGGTGCCGTCAGAATGAGAGTCCAAACAGCTGATAAAAACATCACAATAATCCACACCACTCCAGTCCAAAGAACAACTGTATAGAGTTTTGTTTTTTGTTTTGCATTTTTTAATATCTACATTCAATTATTATTTTAATTTAAATATTATATAGTTAAAATATTAAAACATTAATAAATTCTTAGTGTTAAAATGTTTATATTTTTAAAATGTAGTTTAAAAATTCTCACATTTCTGTACAGCTGGGAGTGCGTGTATTGAATTACATTGAATTTTTTGGGGAAAAAACACCGAAGTTGTTTTCTGTGTGAAAAATTGTTTTTTTTCACTGGAAAAATGCAATATTATTTATGGACTCATTCAGCTGAAAGCAACAGTTTGAAGTTAAAAATGTCTAGATGTATTTGTTTCTTACAAACACACAGCTTTTGTCTTCTCCAGATGTTAACTGATGGACTGGAGTGGTGTGGATTATTGTGATGTTTTTATCAGCTGTTTGGACTCTCATTCTGACGGCACCCATTCACTGCAGAGCATACATTGCTGAGACACTGATGCAATGCTACATTTCTCCAAATCTGATGAAGAAACATCAGATTTTTAGGGTGAACTGTTTCTTTAAGTCATAGCTGTAATGGTTGTACAGTTGTGTATTGGATGTTGCATTATACAGTATCTTTATTATAGCACAAGTAAGCCGCTCGTGTGGCTTCAGACTGCAGTATTTTAAGTGCCAACAGCCTGTTTTTATCTGTTCTCTCAAGCCGCAGGGTTCAGCACGAACAGCACAAGCCACGTTTGTATTTGTGTGCTTTAAACATATATAGGGTCAAATAAACAGGTGTTTACTTTTATATTTCTTCTTGTTCATGCAGTGCTTGAGTATGTGTACTTTGTATATTCTATTACAAGAGCACGTGTGATTTGATTTGGAGAAAAATTGAGCTTTAGAAGTGGCGAGAACTCTCTTCTAGGACACTCTCTTGAGGTCCCAGCATCATTTCTGCTTACGCTGACGTGAGAGCCTTATTTTCCCACATGCATCTCATCTTAGGTTTCTCCTGCAGCTCTTGACAGCCTGATTATATGATGATAACAGTATTTCATTCTGCACTGTTAAGAGTCATGCTGTGCTGACCGGCTAACGCAATCAGCTGGAAACTCCAGAGCAAAAGCTCACGATATATCATCTCTGAATTTAAAGGAAACCTGCTGAATAAATTTGTTTTACATTGAATTACCAGTGTGGTTTATTGCATTTACATATGCTCAAAACTTCCTGGAAAAGTAATATTGAAACCAGTGGTTTCAATGAGACTGATTTATATATGCATGAATTTGCTTAGTATTATATTTGCTCAATTATTGCCCAAGAAAATGCATGTTTAAAAATACGCAATGCATTGTTCAAAACTTGTGAATTTTTAGTTTTGAAAGTCCATACTTTAAGTTGTGTTCTGTGCATAAATAAATCCTGAAAAAAAGCACTTAATTTTGACAAATGCATGGTTTAAAAATTAGTTTTGTTTTCAAAGTCCATACTTTTAATCTTAATATTTTGAGGTCACAAGTCATTTAAAAAGGACTGTTTGGAGATTCAATTTCATACCATTAAAATGCTTACATTTTCATTGTTCACTTAGAAAATGTTTAATGGACAATCAGATATTAGCAGCTATTATTATTAGACATTAAATATGCAAAATGTGTTTTACATTGAAATATATTATAAATTTAAGATATATATGAAACAAAATATGAATATGCTTAATTTTTATTTTGTATTACAGTTGATCAATGCCAAAATTATAATAGACTAAAATGTACTTTTTTTTTTCTCAAGTCCATACTTTTAATCTTAAATACTTATTATTCTGAATTTATATTTACACCATTCAAATTTTTTTTTTTTCAAAATTGTTCATACTATTGAAATCCTTACATGCAAGACTTTTACCGTTTGCATTTAAAAAAAAAAAAGTTTAATAGACATACATTTTATATTATCAACAGGCTTGGCTCAAAATGCCTCATACATTAAAAATAAATGCAAAAACATCCCCATTATTAATTATTTTTGTTAAAATTAATATATTCTAGGCCTGCTGTGACTAAATATTGCACAGAATACAGGTTTACTGCCTCTGCCTGGATGCATTTCACAATGTTTTGTTTATGATTTAAACGTACAAAGTGTAAAAGACTTTCAAAACCTTTTAACAAAAAAATTCCAAGTTTCCAAAACCTGAACCAGTGATTACACGGAAATCCACTGGATGCATCTGAAAAAGTCCTCAGGGAAGTACTGCAGACACACAAGGGTTAGAAAAACATAATGGGCATCTCTAACATGCATTTTTACACAGAGACAGAGGAAAAGTGCTCTAGTTTGCAAATGAACAGACAAATCCCAGCAACTGTTTTCAACAACATTTTATTTGAACAAAGCTCCTGAAGCACATCGATGCTCCAGTCTACTTCAGCTTCTTCTTGGGACGCAGGTTGTTGGTGTGGCCGCACTTCTTCTTGCGGCAGTTGACGGCACGTGGGTGCAGACGGGCGTAACACCTGAGACGAGAACATCGCTTCATTATCATTACTTTCTCAACACAACACTGAACCATCACCAACACATGACCTACATCAAGAGGACAATCACTAGACGTTAGAAGTGAAGCGTGTGCTCTTACTTGCGGCAGATCATCTTATCGCAGTTGTATTTCTGGGCCAGCTGTCTGAGGGACGGCTCGATGATGCCTCCTCTGAGACGCAGCACCAGGTGCAGGGTGGACTCTGAGAAAAACCACAAACACCATCCAATAAATACAACAGCTCTTGACCAACAACAAATGTTATGGACATGTTTTCTTTTTCAAGTCCGTCCAGTATTTAGACACCTTTCTGAATGTTGTAGTCTGAAAGTGTGCGACCGTCTTCCAACTGTTTGCCAGCGAAAATCAGACGCTGCTGGTCAGGTGGGATGCCTGAGGAACAATAAAGACATGTTAATGGTCTGGAGAATAATTAAAAAATGTATACAAATTAAATAATAATAAAATCAATAAATAATAAAAGACATGTTAGTGGTCTGGAGAAGAATAAAAAATAAATAATAATAAAATAAATAAATATAAAAATAATAAGACGTTAGTGATCTGGAGAATTAAAAAATTAATACAAATGAAATAATAATAAAATAAATAAATATAAAAATAATAAAAGACATAAAATAAAAAAAATAATAAAAGACATGTTAGTGGTCTGGAGAAGAATAAAAAATAAATAATAATAAAAAATAAAAATAATAAAAGACATTTTAGTGGTCTGGAGAAGAATAAAAAAATAATTAAATAATAATAAAAAATAAATGTTGGTTAGTGGTTTAAGGAATAAACTTGGGAACACAAATCTTCCTTAGTAATTGTGTCATTTATCAGTAATTGTTTTCCAGTGAAAATGTCTAGATTCCTAAATCAAGATGTATTTACTCGAGAAGCATAATAACTATAGTGTTATTGCTTTAAGCATAATCTTGCGTAACCTTGTTCAGTTTCTCAGAAAACTAAATCTCAAGTAAATGTGTCTTGATATAAGGATGTTTATAAATATAATAAAAAATATATTTATATATTTAAAAAAAATAATATATATAAAAAAATAAGTTTTTTTTTTTTTTTTTAAATGCGTCTTGATAAAAGGAATAAGGATGTTTAGATATTCTGTACTGCAAAATAAGAAAAATACAGTAGAATGTATCTTTTTACATTGAAAAAAGTATTATATATTTTTTAATATATATATATAAAATAAATTAAATTTTTTTGGGCAATATTTAATGACATTACTTTATGAATTTAAGACTTTCTGCACCCAAGACATTTTCTAAGGCCTTAATTTGTGGAACATAAGCGCCACATTCACAGTGCCATCCGCTGAAGCTCATACACACCCTCCTTGTCCTGGATCTTGGCCTTCACATTCTCGATGGTGTCGCTGGGCTCGACCTCGAGGGTGATGGTCTTACCAGTCAAAGTTTTCACAAAGATCTGCATCTTGCCACTGTCACAGAGAAAAGACAACAGAGTCACTTACAGCATCAGCATCAGTCAAGTGCACTGATGAGCACAATAACAGTTCTGCGGTATCACATAAACCTCTGTACAAAATAATACAACTATAACTCCGTATCATCTGTAGGCATGTACCATGGTAGATACCATGCAAATACCACATATCTTGTAATGAATGAAATCAAAAACACCCATTAGTGATCATATCTGACTCTACTGAGCATCAGATGAGTTTAGTGTCATTCAAACGCTGACAGGGACCCGTAATGTTATAAAATAGAGTTAGCAGAACAACCTAAGCGCTGTCACTTCAATATATATACATGTGCTATGGGTTTCGGGCGCTTTGTCGTAAGTCTGGTGTGAGTTTTAGTGTCTGGAGTTTCTCTCGGACACATGGCAGAAGCGGCCATGACACTCCACCGCCACACATTCAGCTCCAAACCACACAAACGCATCCAAATCCACCACATAACCCGCTTTCATAGCTCCGTTCCTGACCATAAACATCTAAGGTAGATATGTACACAAATAAACGGGTGAATAAGGAGTGAAAATATTGTATAATGAGACAATCGGTCGGACGCTAAGCCTCACCCGCGCAGTCGCTGCTGGTCCGGGCGGAAAAGAACCACGCGTTTCTCGGGCTTCAACGTGAAGATCGTGTGTATTTGAGCGTTGAAGCGCCTTTAGCGCCGCCTGCAGGACAGGAGCGGAACCGCAGCACTGCTGCCACGGCACGAGTTTCCAAACCAGATTCATCAAACTCAGAGCTGAAGTACTAAAACAAGGTCTGTGCTAGTTTTATATAACTGCATAATCTGTCTCAGCATTTTTGTGACAAGCTGTTATTTATTGTGCGAATTTGAGTGAGGTTTGGTGTATAAAACTAGCTGTCTTTCTATGTACGAGCAGCTGAGATTATTATAAATATTATTTGTATGTAGAATTAAACTGCGGTGTGATTTATCACAATAATTTAAAATGTATTATTTATATTAATAATATGCACACACACACACACACACACACATATATATATATATACACACACACAGATAAGTTGAGATTATTAAATATTATTTAATGTGTACAATTAAATGTAGAATTAAAACTGATTTGTCACAATTTACAATTTAATATTTATTATTATTATTTATTAATAATATAATTAGATTTATATATATTTTTTTTTTACACACACACACGTATATATATATATATATATATATATACACACACACTTAGTTTTTTTAATTAAAAAGAAAAAAAAGCAAAGCAAGATATTTCACAATATATTCATGTATTCTACCAGAATACATTAAAACATATTCACAATGAAACCATCAGTTATAAATATACAAAACAAATCATTCATTTCAAACAGACCTCAGAGTATTTTCATCATACAAGTGCACAATAAATACAGTGTCTTTTCAGTTAAAAGTCATTTATAGCCTATTTATTACAGACTGAACATTACTGATATGGATTTGCTCTGCTGCTCTGTCATGAACTAAATGCACATGCCAGCAAGTATTTTTATTTCCATTCAATTCTACTCTTTTAGTAGCGATATGAGGTGCAACTAAATAAAGAGAAATTCTTTGATCTACCTCTCCCTCACAAAGCCTTCATCCTGGGTGTAAATGAGAGTGATGTGTGTGCTTTGTGTGTCTTTCTGCAGCGATGCTCTGATGATCTCAGTGTGGATGAAAGAGAAACACGGTGCTGCTATCTGGCTTTCGGCAGTCTTCTGTTCACGTCGGCTTTCTGATTCGTCAGGTTATTTAAAACACAGCTGGAGCTGAGCATCGCCAGCCTGGAGTCCAGAACCACCTTCCTCTTCCTCCAGGAAGACCGATCTTCCTCCTCCTCTTCCTCCTCTGCTTCACTTTCAACGTCGCTGCGTTCGTCCTTGTCCAACTGTTGAAGAGAAGGTTAAAGTGAGTTTGGTTAAATATATTTTGGTTCATTTAAATAAACCAATTTATGGCAGTCAAATAATTTATCAGAATGTACAATGCATTTGTAATCAGTTCATAAAATAATAAAAAAGAGAGAAAAGTTCCTTTGAGCACAAATCACACTGGCAAATCACATATTTTGTTACGTATGCAACAGTGTTGTTAACTAAAACTGAAACTATTAAAATTTGTTTGTTTGTACGTAACTGAAATAAAATAAAATGCAAACATGAAAAACTTAAATGTAACAATTTAAAGAAAATGAGAAATGTTTCTCTGGCAACTAGCTGAAATAAATAATTTATGTTGACATACTAAACTTACTAAAACTAAAATTAAATTAAAGCTAAATCTAAATAGAAATATATACAAAACACAAAAAAACACACAAAAGCAAAAATACTAAAACTAAATTAAACTAAACTAAAATTAAAATTGAACTGAAACTATACAAATAAAACTCACTGAAAATAATAATTTGTATTAATTTAAAATGAATAAAATTATTACTGAAATAAAAATAATTCAAGCTAAAGATATATATATATAATAAAAATGACAAAAGCACATAGCAAAAGTACTAAACTTTAAACTAAAATTAAAATTGCCAATATATAAAAATAAAAGTAAAATAAACTGAAATAAATTGTCGAAGTTGAAGTACTACATTTACTAAAACTAACAATGAAATTAAAATAAATTATAGCTACACAGAAGTATTTATAAAAAACAAAAAGTAATAAAAATGACAGAAGCACAGCAAAATTACTAAAACTTCAACCAAAATTAAAATTAAAACTTACAATATAAAAGTAAATGTAAATAAAATAAATAATTTAAGTTGAAGTACAAAAATTACTGAAACTAAAACTAAAATTAAATAAATAAAATAAATAAATAAAAATGAATTAAAGCTCTCTCTCTCTCTCTACATATACTGAACAAAATTATAAACGCAACACTTGTTTTTGCCCCCATCTTTCATGAGCTGAACTCAAATACTAATAAAAATGACAAAAGCACATAAAATTACTAAAACAAACTAAAATTAAACTGAAAATACAAACAAAAGTAAAACTAACTGAAATAAACAATTTAAGTTTAAATTCTAAAATTACTAAAACTAAAACTAAAATTAAATTAAAGCTTAATAAAAATATATATAAAAAACTAAAACTAATAAAAAGGACAAAAGCACATTACAAAAGTACTAAAACCTTAACTAAAATTAAAATGAAAACTGAATATATAAAAATAAAAGTGCATTCATAACATCAATAAATACTCTGACAGTATTTAATAGTAAAATACCACTTTTATGCAATATGATGGACGGATGGATTGACTTACTTTCCCTAAGAAGAGAAACTTGTAGATCATTCTCAGGATGAGATAAGCCCAGTAAATGTGCAGCACCTGCAGCACCAGCAGCAGCGCATTAAAGATATAATATCCTATAAACGGCTCAAACACTTCCATAGACAAAACAAGAGTGGTGTAGATGATCCTACAGGAGAGAAAACACACACACACACAGACACACACAGACACACACAGACACACACAGACACACACAGACACCCTCACACACACTCTCACACACACACTCACAGACACACTCACAGACACAGACACACTCACAGACACAGACACACACACACACTATATGCAGACACACTAAAATTATTAAAACTGAAAAATAAAACAAATAAAAAAACAAATAAAAATGACAAAAGCACATAACAAAATTACAAAAATTAAACTAAAATTAATCAAATTAAATTGGAAATATACAAATAAAAATAAAACTATCTGAAATAAATACAGTTGAAAACTTAAATAAGAAATGAAAACTTAAATGAAACTAAAATGAGAAATGTTTTGTTGGCTAACATTACCAAAACTAAAACTGAAATAAAATAAATGTAAAGTTACACACACTTATATATATATATATACAGTATATATTTGTTTTTTTTTGTTTTTTTGGGGGGTTTGTTTTTTTGTTTTTAAACAAAACATACATACATACTGCATATGTATATAAACAAAAACAAATAAAAATGACAAAAGCAAATAACAAAACTAAATTTAAACTGAAAATGTATAAATAAAAAACCATAAAAATCCAAATGACTCTAAAGCACAAAACATTACTAAGCGTAAAGGCCACTGCAAATGATGACCCAGGAACAGATGTGGCTTAAACAGGAAACAGGAGTGAAATGACGGGATGGTGATGTGTTTGGGGAGTTTTCTGGCCGTGTTAGACTGGTTGTTTCTGAGCATGAATGCGTGACTCAGCGGTCGAGCTCGTACCTCCAGCAGGAAATCAGAGGAGTCGTGGACGAGCATCACCAGGGTCCCGATCCGAATGTAGTTGGAGCAGTACGAGAAACTCAGCAAGAAGATAGTGGCGAAGTGGTGGACGATCTGTTCTTTGAAATCCTAAACAGAATTAACGGAAGAGGACAAAAGAATATAAGTAACTGATATTATGGTGGGCGGTACTGACAGGAAATTAAACCTGAAACAACCAAACAACAAATCCGTCTAGACAATGGATGATGATGTGCTGACACACTCAAGGAAGAAAATCACACATTAAATTTCTCCAACATTCAAGCATTTAAAGGAACAGTACACTCAAAAATGAACATTCCATCACTTGCTCACTAATAGCAGTGAATGGGTGCCGTAGGGCTATGCGATATATATCACCTACGACAATATCGTAATTGTTGTTTAAACGATATGTGACCCTGGAGCACAAAACCAGTCATAAGGGTCAATTTTTTTTTATTGAGATTTATGCATCATCTGAAAGCTGAATAAACGAGCTTTTCATTGATGTATGGTTTATTAGGATATGACAATATTTGGTCGAGATACAACTATTTGAAAATCTGGAATCTGAGGGTGCAAAAAAATCTAAATATTGAGAACACAGCTTAAACACTGAGAAAAACAATGCACAGGAACCAAATCTAAAAGCAGCTTATTTCTATTACAGCCACTGGATAAACAACTAGATAAAGTGACATTAATAGTGAAGTGGTTTACAATGGGAACTGAAGACGATGTTATCTGATACTTCAGGACTGAAAGAGTTTAAAGTTCTTACTTGCTGGGAAACACGAGCAGGCGTGTAACCAGGAATACAGCAGCAAAAATCACAAACAATGAATCGCAAGTTTTCTTCCAGCCGGCATAGTTCAACATCTTGGCAGACTGTGGAAAAACCAGAGAGATTTTGTTGAGCTACTATAAATTCCTATCAATTTTAAGCACTGAAACTTAAAAACTTAAATTAAAAGAAATGTTTTCTTGGCAACTAACTGAAATAAAGTTGAAATACTAAAATTACTAAAACTAAAATAATCAAAACCAGTCATAAGGGTCAATTTTTTTTTATTGAGATTTATGCATCATCTGAAAGCTGAATAAACGAGCTTTTCATTGATGTATGGTTTATTAGGATATGACAATATTTGGTCGAGATACAACTATTTGAAAATCTGGAATCTGAGGGTGCAAAAAAATCTAAATATTGAGAAAATCACCTTTAAATTGGTCCAAATTAAGTTCTTAGCAATGCATATTACTAATCAAAAATTAAGTTTTGATATATTTACGGTAGGAAATTTACAAAATATCTTCAAGGAACATGATCTTTACTTAATATCCTAATGATTTTTGACATAAAAGAAAAATCTATAATTTTCACCCATACAATGTATTGTTGGCTATTGCTACAAATATACACATGCTACTTATGACTGGTTTTGTGCTGCAGGGTCACAAATGTGATTTGACATTATGTAGTATATCGCAAAAACCAAACAAAAACACACACCCAGAGAGTGCACGCATGCACTCTATTAAAAGTCTATTAAAATACATTCAGATTTGATCTGAGCTGCTCCACATTTATTTTATAGCTCTATACTCTTAATGGATGACAACTATTGACTCGGTTTCTTCTCCAAAGGAAGAACTAAAAATAAAAGTGTGATATTTAAATGAAATGAAAGTCTCCGCTGAGCAATAATATGTTACTCTGTGTGTGCAAGTTGATATTCGTATGAAAACATTATATTAAAATATTAAACTGAAGATTCATGTTAATACATTTTAACATATATTTAACCTTATTTTGATAGCCGACAAGTGAGCAGCTAGCAAAGTAAATAACTGAGCAGCTCTAAAAGGACATTCGCTTTGAAAGAGAAACTCTGACCCGGTAACACAAAGGGTTTTACGCTACAACAGGTCATCATGAAACATTCAGAAAGCAAATAGCTCTGCTGTGGGCCACTATTGTGCGAGATCTTACTTTTCTCTTGACGTCCACAGACACACAGAGCAGCAGAGACCAGTAGAAGCCCAGCTCAAGCATGTAGTACCAGTAATGAGCGTCCTGAACCGGCTAGAGACACAAACACAGGACCTGAGTGAAAACAGGGCTCACAACAGAGAACACGGACACTTCATGTACTGAAAGTACAACCATAAACATAATAATAATAATAATATTATTTAGTTGCTTGAAATAAAATAAACTGAAATAAATAAAAAAATCTAATGAAATGAAATAAAACAAAATATAAAAAATGTAACATTTCTCATTTTAATTTAGTTTAATTTTAATTTAAGTTCTAAAATGAATAAAACTAAAACTGAAATAAAAATTAATAAAAACTACATCGACATATTAATAAAACTAACAAAAATGACCAAAACACACAAAAAAAATCACAAAATTTTTTACTAAAATGTAAATTTAAATGGAAAATATAAAAATCAAAACTAATCAACAATCATTTCAAGAATTGTAGACGAAGCATTTTTAAAATCGTGAGAAATATAAATTCTACTTTTGACTGATATTGTAAATATTTTGTCAAAACCAGTATCCATATGAAGAAATGTTGTCATTTTCCTTGATATTACAGGTAGATTGTTCTAATAACACTAAAATATGTCTCATATTTATCACCGTCATATTATGAAATCTACAGTATGAGTCAGATAAAATACCGTACAAAATTATTTTGAAAGAAGTCTCTTCTGCTCATCAAGGCTGCATTTATTTGATCAAAAACACAGTAAAAACCGTAAAACTGTGAAATATTATTTTAATTTAAAACAGCTGATTTCTATGTGAATCTCTGTTAAACTGTAATTTATTTCTGTGATGCTCAGCTGAATTTTCAGCATCATTACTCCAGTCTTCAGTGTCACATGATCTTCAGAAATCATTCTAATATGCTGATTTACTGCTCAAGAAACATTTCTGATTATTATCAATGTTGAAAACAGTTGTGCTGCTTCATATTTTTGTGGAAACCGTGATATATTTTATTTTTCAGGATTCACAGATGAATAGAAAGTTCAAAAGAACAGCATTTATTAGAAATAGAAATCTTTACTGTCACTATTGATCAATTTAATGCATCCTTGATGAACAAAGGCATTAATTTCTTTAAAAAAATAAAACAAAACTTAAGAATCTTGTCACATGGAGTGTCTGTATGCCAGATGTACATTGAATAGTGCGGGTGCGTGTGTAGTTCAGACAGGTGAGCTCACCTGTTGAGGAAACCCTCTCCAGCACTCTCTGTGATCCCAGAACCAGGGCGTCTATGAGGAAGAGAAACACTTTCACACAACCACCATTAAAACCAAACACAGACAACAAAACTACTTCCTTTAACAACAAACGAGCCAGTCATGCAGTGAAAACCAGTCATTCAGAAAAACATTAGAACTGTGTGCATTCACAACAACAAAGATCAAGCTTGTTCAAAAAATGCTTTAAAGCATTTAAGGCTTCTGACTAAACCAGACTTTAACTAGGGGTCCCTAATTAGGGGACGACTCAAAAGACACCAACCCCAAGACACACTTGGGTTCACAAGGGAGTAAAAGTTCAAATATCGACTCACGTTAATTAAAGACGCGAATCCCGCGCTGAAAGCAAGCAGGTAGAACACAAACCTCCAGCTGGGGAAACAAAAGATATGAAGTTACTATGGTACGAAACACAGCTCAAAAATATCAATAAAATCTTTCCACCATGGACAGTTTTTTCACAAAATAAGAATTGAGGTTTTTCAGATTATATATATGTACAGTATCAGCTTTCATGCACTTATCAAAATAACAAAAGCAGTGAAATGTCAAAAGGCATTTTTTAATATACATATTAATGCTGAACTTCATCTAAAACTAGTTTGAACAACATTTACGTAGTTATTTTATAATTAATATAATAACTAGGTAAATGTTGTATAATAATTAAAATGGAGTTATTTTATAATTCCATTTCACAAGCTCACGTTAAGTGAGAGGCTACATGAAATATTTGTTTTTACAAAAAATATTAAAAAGATTAAAGGGGATTTAAAATGGTAATAATACTTACGAGAAAAGCGGACATTCACATTCATAATTAATGTAAACATTAGGATATATTTTACTTCATTACAATATTTGTAGATATATGTGTATGGTGGTGTGATAATGAAGTGATTTGATTGGTTGATTTTTAAAAAGACCTGATATTACCTAATTTGGTTCTGGAATCAAAAATATCAATAAAAACTTTCCATCACGCGTATATATATATTTTTTTTTAAACAAAATAAGAATGAAGGTTTTTCAAATTTCAAATATTTTTCAAATATAAATATATATATGTATCAGCTTTAATGCACTTATCAAAATAAAAAAAAGCAGTCAAAAGTCAAAAGTTTAAGTTACAAAAAATGCATCATTTAACTTACAATCTGCATTTAATATGCATTTGATGCAATTTACACTTTACAAAGTAAGCAAAATAAAGCTTATTTTCCACAAAATCTGTAATTTTCTGTTTGGATGCAGCAAAACGCCCACAGATGCATCTGCTCATGTTTGCATTTTCTTCTGTCACTAGCCATAATTCTGACCTTGCAATCAGGATTAGGCATCAAATAATGTCATATATGTGAAAACGGGCTAAGAATTGAACAGATAGTTGTGATCTGGCTCAGATTCAGACAGGAATCGTGTGTTTGTGGTGTTTTTCTGCTGATTAAGAGAGAATACGAGACTTCTTCTCCTTACAAAAGATTGTCGAAAGCAAAAATGCGACAAAATGCACATATTTTGTGTGAAAGTGTGATGTGCTCCAGCAAAACAGACACTATTTTTGGAACCTTTTTACTATTGGACTATTGGACTTCATTCAGCAGATATGATGCAGCGCCGTGTGATCAGTTATCTGTGGAACTATGATTGTGATATTATCAAAAGCAAATACCTGAGGTGAACTTACCTGGCCTCGCAAAACTTCTTACTGTTGCTGGGTCTGTCCTGGTTTCTGCGGTTACGAAACCAGGTCTCAACTTGTCTATGAGTCAGGTTGCACTGGTTAACCAGGCTGGAGATCTCATTCTAGATGGAATAATGCAACAACATGAGGTATTATTTGACAATGAGCAATAATATTCCAGGTTAAATACAATAGATCTAATGACGGCATCTGTGATAGTGATTACCACAGACTATTACTCACTCATGCCTGACCATGTTAAGAAAATAAACTGCCACTTTACAAGTTTTTACTAGTTTCTTAACTATCCTTTTCCCAATAATCCTCATTACAAAGACACATAAAAACACAAACACACACATTTAAAAATACATACACAACTGAAAAATTATATAATTAAATTATTAATTTATTATGATAATTATTATATCATTAAAGTAGTTCATAAAAAATATAAAATAATTAAATTATTTATTAATAATTACTATAAATCTAAAATAATATAAATACATTATTAAATATTGGATTTATTATTATTACTATTATTAATAATTTAATTAAAGTATTGATTTAATCATCAAATATTTATATATTAAATAATTATATATAAAAAAATATATGAATGAACAATTTGTATATGAAACATATGAAACAATTGTATTAATTTATAAAAGGTGTAAAAGGTGAGTTGCATAAAAAGGTTATTTTTTTTTTATTTTTTATTTCTTTTGTAAAGATTCAATGTAATAATTCTCTCCATGCATTTGAAAGTGTACAGGGTTTCAAATTACTTTGCAAGTTTTCATTTTGTACTCAGTCGAATATTAAATAAATTTGGCTCATACAGTACAAAACAACATTTATTTCTTCAGAATTGTTATTTTCTCCCCTTTAACAGTGCTGTAAGTTGACCTTGTTTTTAATGCCCTTATGCTTGCATGTATAATGAGAAGCATTTATTTGCATTCGTATTTATGTTCCTGGCAGAAGAATTTTTTTATATAACAAACAACTAAATTTCAGCAGGTTGCTAAGATGTTTATAGTGCCTAGATATAAAGTAGTTAATAAAAAATATAAAATAATTAAAATAATTAAATATAATTACTATAAATCTAAAATAATATAAATACATTATTAAATATTGGATTTATTATTATTACTATTATTAATAATTTAATTAAAGTATTGATTTAATCATCAAATATTTATATATTAAATAATTATATATAAAAAAATATATGAATGAACAATTTGTATATGAAACATATGAAACAATTGTATTAATTTATAAAAGGTGTAAAAGGTGAGTTGCATAAAAAGGTTATTTTTTTTTTATTTTTTATTTCTTTTGTAAAGATTCAATGTAATAGTAAAAGTGCTGCATTTAAAAAAAGAATAAAATAAAAAAGGTAAAATAAGCTTCAGCCTACACCTTTTTCAGTTATGTTTATTCAGTTTTCATTTTAATTTGAGGTATTTTTGTTATGTGCTTTTGTCATTTTTATATATTTCAATGTAGCTTTAATGTATTTTTATTTCAGAATTAGTTTTAATAATTGTATTTCTTCAACTTCAACTTATTTCATTTAGTTACCAAGGCAACATTTCTCATTTTATTATGTTTTACATCTAATATTTAGCTTTATTTCGATTACTGAAAATAAGTTTTAATAGTTTTAGTTAATAATAACAACACGGTGCCAACATTTTTTTTTCCATTGGCCATAAATATTGAATTTAATGAATAAAATAAAAAGGTAAAATAAGCTTCTTCTTCAGCCTACACCTTTTTCAGTTATGAAAAAATTATAATTTTTTTATTGCGTATGAGAACCAAAATAAACAAAATCTTGATACACAAGAATACCAGTAAGATTCATTACTATCTGTAAAGCCTATTTAGATGGAGCAAACTCATCCATATAAATGATGTCAATTATAACCAGAAATTCATCTGCCAAGAAAAACAAGGACATTAAAATAATGAAATGAACTCCAGAAAGAGACGCTAGCAGGGACACAATGGTTCCACGTCTGAAAGAAATGTCAACACTATCAGGTTCCTCACAACACACTGTTGTGTGGCTTCCTCCTGCAGTATGAAATATACATGCATATTTCCTTTCCTTAGTGCCTTTATAGGCTTCATATGAACTGAATTCATTTCAGATGAAGTAGATTTTAGATCTCACCTATAAAAACGGACTTTTATGTATTTGGGCTGATTCAGTCATATTAAATCATATTTTTGACTTGAATAACCAGTTCAATTAGATCACCTGTACCATTTATTCAGTGTCATCCTGCAATGCATTTTTTTTGCATTTTGAATCAAGTTTCATTAATCAGGGAGCAGTAACGATCCAGAACAATTACAGACTTCTGGGTTTCCAGTATGTCTGTTAAAATCGCACTCGCTCTCTTCCCGTATGTGGTTAGACATCCACACACTCATTTGCAAAGCATTATGGGTATTTTCCAGGAGAGTAAGATGCAAAACAACAACTGTTGGAGAATGATCTCTCAGTGTATGTTTGCATAAATGTATGCAGATTCATACGTGTTTAATGTGTGTTTGTACGGGTGCAGGTGCAGGTGTGAGTTTACTTCAGGGACGAATCTGGTCCCAGATATTTGTGGATGTGTTCAAAGGGAAAAATGATTCTTAAATTCTAATAGATGGGGCCAAAACGATGGGTTTTATTTTAGCATTATTTATACACTTTTATAGTATTATTATATATACATAGTATAGTTGTTTATAGTATTATACGTTTATATTATAGTATTTATTAATATTTTTATTTAGTTTTCATTTAATTTTAGTTCGTTTTAGTAATTTAATGTGCTTTTGTCAATTTTATTATTTTTATATATTTCAATTTAGCTTTAATTTATTTCTATTTCAGTTTTAGGTTTAGTAATTGCTTTTTTATTTATTTGTATCACGTCAACTTAAACTTATTTCAGTTAATTGCCAAGACAAATTTCTAATTCTCATTAAGTTTTTCATCTAATATTTAGCTTTATTTAAATTATTGAAAATTATTTTTAATAGTTTAGTTTTAGTTAACTATAACAACACTGGGCCAAAAATGTTTTTCATTGGCTGATGCCAACAAATGGCATATAATAATAATAATAATAATAATAATAATAATAATAATATATTTTAAATAAATAAATAAATATAATATAATATAATATAATATAATATAAAACAATATATACTCAAAGTCTATGGTATGTTCTCATTAGATTGCTAGGTGTGTGTGTGTGTGTGTGTGTACTAACCTGCGTCGGCTGTCTGCTGTTTTTAGTGTAAAACGCCTCCAACTTTGGGACAGCAGTGATTTTCAAACAAACTCGATCTTTCACTCCTAAAACTCTGCTGAGAGGAAACGCCACACGTCTGCATGAGAGAGAGAGGCAGGAAATAAAGGATTCAGGACACATGATGTGTTTCATCAATGTCTTTTTGTTACTAAATGAGACCTTTATTCACAGAAAATCAGAAGAGCATGCATTGCTCACAGGTCACTCAGGAGGAGCTTGTACATTTAAATGCAATTATGATTGTTGTTTAATGTGTAATATTACCTATATAAACACTCTTATTGTATATGAATATGTTTGCACTGGTTGGACTTTTATTAGACGTGGAAACATGATCCGGGATCAATCGTGGGTGAAAGGGGTTGCAGCATCAGCTGACATGACAAGCTCTCTGTGTTGCTATAGAGATCAGTTACTGTAGCAACCGACATACACACACACACACACACACATATACACACACTCACACACTCACACACACTCACACACACACTCTCGCACACTCACACACTCGCACACTCACACACACACACACACACACACACACACTCACACACTCTTGCACACTCACACACACTCACACAAGTGTGTGAGTACACAGAAACACACACCTGCTAGTCGCGCCGTCACGCACAAAGAAGTTACACCACAGCAGACGCCAAACGCACAATACTAAACAAAGAGACTGATTGCATGCGGAGATACAGCAGATTCAGGTATGCATACTAAACATTCAAGCACACATGCATGAGAGCTTTGTTAGCTTTGTTAGCAGTACGTCCCAATATACCACGCACTAGCTAGTGTTGCATTTTTTTTAATGGTTTTAAGCATGTGGCACAATTATTATTTTTTTTAAATATGCACATCTGATGGGCAAAAAAAAAACTAAATGAGGGTGCTCAACTATTAAAAACAATAAGAAAAAAGAAAGGTTGGCACACCACAGCTCCAAATATGCAAAACTGTTTATTTCATGTTCTAGCCACAGGTGACGTTTTGAGCCATTTTTAAGCATGTTGCACAAATTGTCCTGCGAACAAATTATTTTATTTTATTTTATTATTTAGTAATGGTGTCAGATGGCAAACCAGGGTATTTTGATATATAGTGTGATGATTCAGATCATCACAGATTCAGGTATTCAAGGACAAAACCTAAGGAAATCTAACAATACAATAATAATAATAATATATTAACTATAATTATTGTTATTATTATTCAAAATATTTTTGTTTATTATTTAAAATATAAAAATCAAACAAATCAATAAAGAAATATATTGCTATTCCAATAGTAATTTTGTACTGTGAAATAAAAAATAAATTAATATTAATAATAATAACAACAGTGAATTTATTATTATTATTATTATTATTGTTATTATTCAGATAATATTTTTATTGTATTATTATTTTAAAATGGAACAAATCAAAGAAACATTACTCTTGCAATAATAATATTGTACTGTAAAATAAAAATTGGCATTTAATAGTAACAATAATTTACATTCATTATTATTATTAGTTTTATTATTATTATTGAACATAATAATTTTATTAATTACATTTTTATTAAATAATCATTTTTTATTATTTTAATTATTTAAATATTTTAAAAAATTCAACACATCAATAAAAAATATATTTGTATTGGAATAATAATATTGTACTTTAAAATATAAAAATGTATTATTATTATTTTTAATAATAATGGGTCAAAATATGGAAATGCATAAAAATATAGGGGGGAAAAATCACATCCCTGCTCAAAGAATGTCCAAAAAAATGCAGTGATACTGTGGTACTTTTTCTAATTTAACTCATATTCTGTTATTAATTCAGGTCAAACCTGGTTAAATTAAATTTAAAGCCCTCAGGACTTGATAAAGTCATCAGTCACCTCTCAAAAGCGTAACGAAGCATGATGAATCCCAGAGCTAGAGGCAGAGCCAGGAGCAGATCCCGCGGGAGAGGACGCCGAGAGCCCTCCATCTTCTCCAGATCCTCCCAGCTGATTCCCGGAGGAAGCCAGTATTCCTGCTTCCAGAGCCACTGACTGAGCTGCTCCATCCTTCAGCCAGGGGAACTGAGGCAAAAAAATAAAAATAATAATAATTATGCAGCATTTCAATTACTAGGAATGTACTCAATTAAAGGGATATTTCACCTCCAGTTGCTGGTCCCCATTGACTTTCATAGTATGGAAAAAAACCACTATGCAAGTCAATGGGGACCAGAAAATAAAGGTGAACTATTCCTTTAATGGAAAAACGTAGCATAACAAACAGCACTGCGCTGATACTACGGTACAGTGATGCTTTCAGATGACTGCACCAGCGATTACCATGTTTAAGCACCACATACTGTTCCCACACTTTAGTCCTGACCAATGGATTTCCATGTCTTTCCATGACCTTTCCAATCATTCAGGATTACCGGATAAGGATTTATTTTTTTATTTTTTTATAATTTTACAGAGATTAGGGAGTATTTTCAGGCTCCAATCTTTTGAAATAATTGAATTATTATATATATTAGTATATACATCTTTATAATAAGACCCTCAACAGGCAAGCTGATGTTTCACACTGTTTTTGTTTGTATAGTCTACAATATTTTAAATGCAGATTTTTGAATATATCAAATAGTACATAAGACCCCTAAATACTTGTGAGAGACCCCCTTCATAAATATAAAGGCAGCTGTATATTTTTATAAGTGAGAATGCATTTATACTGTGTGAGGAAATAATTAAATGTAATATTATTAAGACAATAAAATCAAATAGTTGTTAAATAACAGGCTTTTATTATACAAATTAAAAAAATATATATATATTAGAAATATTATACAATATAAACCAGGGTGAAAAATATCCTCTGGAAAATATTTACATTTTTAAATGAATTTGAGATTAAGAATTCCTTAAATGTATTTTTTCAACAAAGATTTTTACTTAAGAAAAATATTTAGAAAAAAAAAAAAACGATTTCTAAACTGATTATTAATATGAATATTACATTTTGTGAACTGTGAATGTAAACGTAAAAGCATATGTTAAAATCTATTTCAATGATATTTTAAGAGCACACATTAACTTTGACAGCCCTAAAAACATTTTGCAATCAATCAATCAATAAAACAATAAAATGACATTTTAACCCCAGTTTGAAAACCTCTATTAGACAATGAGATATGCTAAAGAAAACACAAACACATGTATCTGATGTACCATGAGAAAGGTCATCATATCCATCAGATGTGATGGATATCTTTGCACACGTAATGTCAGTTATCTGGCACACCTGCCTGAAACTCACCTGACCGACAGATGACTGCTGATATCAGCTAAAACAAGGAGACCTTCTTGCTTTACGAGAAATAAACAATCTTCAGCACGTTTAGAGTCACGAGACACATTCATAACATCATGCATTACAAATCAACAAATCCTACAGGGAAATGTCTGATACCTGATGATGATGATGATGATGGTGCGTGATGATGATGATGTATGATGCGTGCAGTACTGATCAGAGGATTTTACGCAAATTAATTCCTATGGAAATTTGCATCCAGAATCTTGAATCGCCGTGCAAAAAAAATCACGACACTAAAAAATATTAAAATAATCTTCAAGCGACATTCGCTGTAGCCTGCCCTTGGTAGCTTCGCGTTAATTTATTTAGAATTAAATATCCAATAAAAATAAAACGGAAGAACCGAGTCCTTCAGATGAATCAGATGAATGTGAAGAATAAATACTGAGGTTCGTGATAAAAGTGAGATCGTCTGCTCTTTACGAGAGACTGGTGTCTGTCTGTGGGTGTGTCGAGACGCCTATTGGTCCAGAAGATGATGCTCGGAAGTCCGAGTCGTTTAGGTGATTCGGTTCTTTTGAACGGCTCTTTGACGGCTGATTCAATTATTTGTTTCATCTTACACAAACGTGCGCTAAGAATAGGTAGAAATGGTGTCGGTTTTTTAGTGTTTGGTTGTAATTAGGTTTGTCGTTATGTCATAAAAAACATTGTTTTTTTTATCTCATTGTGGTTGATTGTTTTCATACAAGAAAAAATACATACGGGATTCACATCAACTAAATATAGTCTTTGTGTCATACAGCTTGTTCATATTGTTACCCAGTAGCAATAATTAAGCTTATTTATAATAAATTCATAATCTGAAAAAGATCTAATGATAACTAACGAGTTCGTTTCTGAGGGGCGCAATTTGTGATTCATTTCAACCGATTCATTAAAAGGAACCGGTTCGTTTGCGAATCGGACAAAGCTTTCCATCAACTGTATTAAATACAGTACAAATAGACATAATTCTTATATAAATTCTATAAGAAAAGAAGCAAACTTACTTGTTAGTATTCTGTTTCCACTCCCTATAAACTGATTTGATGAGTTTACCATGAAAGTACAGCGCCGCAGCTAAGAATACACAAGATTTTTATAACAGTAAGCATAAACAAAACAAATATGATTAAAAAAACTGTGGTATTAGCATGTTTCGGACATGAACAAGACAAATATAACCAAAAAACTGTGGATTTACATGCGTAAACAAGACAAATCTAACAAACATAATCAAAAACTGTGGCATTAGCATGTTTTTTCATATGACACATTAAAACAGACGAGACAAACATAACAAAAACTGTGGTTTTAGCGTGTTTTGGACACGATACAGGCTATTAGAAAAGATAAACAAGATCTAACAATCAAAATTCACAGTTTTTTTTTCATGTCCAAAACATGCTAATACAACAGTGTTTGATTATATTTGTTAAATTTGTCTTGTTTATGCTAATATATCATGTGCAAAGACATGCTAATATCACAGTTAGCATTTGGACACCCTGTTGAAAAAAACAGCATATGCTGGTTAGGTATGTTTTGACGCTGGGATGCTGTTTTAAGCTGGTCCTTTGCTGGTTTATGCTGGTCCTTTGCTGGTTTAAAATGGTCCTTTGCTGGTTTAAAATGGTCCCTTTGCTGGTTTATGCTGGTCCTTTGCTGGTTTAAAATGGTCCTTTGCTGGTTTAAAATGGTCCCTTTGCTGGTTTATGCTGGTCCTTTGCTGGTTTAAAATGGTCCTTTGCTGGTTTAAAATGGTCCCTTTGCTGGTTTATGCTGGTCCTTTGCTGGTTTAAAATGGTCCTTTGCTGGTTTAAAATGGTCCCTTTGCTGGTTTATGCTGGTCCTTTGCTGGTTTAAAATGGTCCTTTGCTGGTTTAAAATGGTCCCTTTGCTGGTTTATGCTGGTCCTTTGCTGGTTTAAGCTGGTCCTTTGCTGGTTTATGCTGGTCCTTTGCTGGTTTAAGCTGGTCCTTTGCTGGTTTAAGCTGGTCCTTTGCTGGTTTATGCTGGTCCTTTGCTGGTTTAAGCTGGTCCTTTGCTGGTTTAAGCTGGTCCTTTGCTGGTTTA